TTCTCTGCTACTTCCTAGATGATTTTCTCCCAAGACTTCAGGCTTCTGTTAAGAAACTCACAAGATGAGTTAGTTCTCCAACTACTTCTGTTTGCACTTGCCATAAAACCTTCCCTATGGCTAAGCAGTACAAAGGCCCAGGAAACTTCTTAGAAGAAAGTTAAAACTACACTGTGAAGGAGGAGGGTAATATTAAGAAAAAAAAGAGAAAAAAGGAATACTATCAGCAAATTATTTTGACACACAACATTAATTTTTATCCTTCACTTTCTTCAGTTGAATGTCATATATCAGGCAAAGGAGATTATAGAACACTTATAAAACAAAAGCAGCCAGAGGGATAAGTTCCTTGTTTGTCTCCTACACTGAATAAAGGGGGAGGTTCCAGGCAGAGCCACAGGATGCTTCAGCCACAGGATCCTTTAGAGATGACTGTTCTGGTGGGAACCAATGGAAACTTTGTGAATGACCTTTGGGAGACCCTGTCTGTGTGGGAACTGGAAGAAAAGGGGCTTACCCACCAACTTCACTTGCCCTCCCTAGGTTCTCACCATACTATGAGCCTAGGAAGAAAGAGCTCCTTCTTGTGCACCACCTGCACATCCATCAACAACCTGCTCTTCCCAGGAAACAGCAGATCTTAGGGAAGGTCTTCTTACACCTTCTTACACCCCTCCACTTTCCTAGAAGTAAACATTTCACATGCGGACCCATCCTTCCAACTGCCAGGAGGATAGCCAGCCACCTGGGAGAGTGCCATTTCTGCCTTCCCTCTCCAGGACCCACTCACCCGCTGAGGATCAGTGGATAGTCTTCTCTCCCTGCATCCCCATACATGGGTGTGGTCCACCTTTCAACTGCTTAAATCTGTGTTGTGAAACCTTGATCTTTTTTCTCAAATCAATGAACACCAACAGCAGTCTTAGTCTAGAGGCTCAGCCCTCTATCCCTCAGAATCCACAGGAGAGCTCTGAACATGGGAGCCGACAGGGACCTCTGGATGTGGACACATGCTAGGCAGAGTCAGAGCATAGCTCCAGGGTAATGAATCTCTTAGGGCTAAGTATCAGGGCCTACTGCCTCTTCCTTCCTGAGCAACCTATACATGCCATTTGAGTAAAACCATTTTTCTTTGGTAATTTGTTTATGGAAGCCGGGTTAGTGCCCCCAAAACACCCATTAGAATAGCCATAGCATTTTTTTTAGATGGAAGAATTTCAATTAAGTACAGATTGCTTAAATGAGTAGCAGTGCAGTGAATCTGTTTAACAAACAGATTCACATATGGCAGAGCTCTGAGGAAAGAAGTAGCCACTTTCAAATCAGGATAAAAGTGGAAGAGGTAGTTTAGCTATTTAGCTTATACATAGGCAGGTAATAAGGAAAGGACCTAAAATGGAGTTGGGTTGGTCACGTACACAGAGTTAAGAGTCACCTCAAAACATATAGATCAGTGATGACAAAGCTTTTAGGCTTTCAGTGATGCAAACAACCCACTGTGATGCATTGCCATAGGTTCACCATCACTAATACAGATCATCAAGCTGAGGAATGCAGAAAACAAGCATGGAGATTGGACCACTGTAGCTGACTCTGCCTCCCTTTTACTTTTGTTCTCCCTATTTACACAGCAAGACTCCTGATTAGCCAAAAAGTACATAATCAGTGCATGGACTTGACATGCTCTGTTTCTCTATAGATCATATTAGAGCATGGACAGTCCACACTCAAATTCCATAGGCTAAATCCACCTGGTTGTAAAAGATCCTAGGACAAAGAGCCCATTCTGTCAACCCTATCTGGGCTCCCTCATGAATATTGGGGGCTTTCTCTCTTCTTGCACTTCCAATAAAGACTCCTCTGCACTGCCTCCTTTTCCTGTGATTTCGTTCTTCAACTTTGTGAGACAGCAACTCAGTTTCAATGGTAACAACAGTCTGACAGCTGATTGCTAAACATTTAACAAATGTCAACACTCAAGTGAGAATTAGAATGTGTTTGCCTGCTGGGAGCCAGGCCCTAAATTATTTTTCACCTACCTATAAACTCTATTGCATAAGTATCTAACCATCACTGATGAGAAATATTAGACCATACGGAGCCCCACTCCTCTCCTACCAGGCTCTCACCCCACTATCACCCCACAGTGTTTTTGTACAGACTTACAAGACCTGATCAGCAGCTGCTTAGAGAACAGCACAGACACGCTTGTCTCCCTCAACGCTTTTCTTCAAGAACTGTGGATAATGCCAAACATTTTAATGTACATGATTGGTTTCCCAGAGGAGAGGAAAGAGAAAATGAGCAAAATATGTACCTAAAGATACTAATAATAGCCAGGGCTGGGGATTTGGCTCACTGGCACCCACACCTGCCTCACGAGAGCAATGTCCTGAGTTAGATCCCTGGTACCCACCCCAAAAAGAGAGTAAATAGCCAAACTTTTTCAGAAATAATGAAAAATGTAAAACAGAGATCCAGGAAGGTGAAATAAACCCAAACAATAAATACTGAAAACCACACCACCTTCAAACTGCTGAAAATAAAACCAAAGATGAAAAGAAAATGTTGAAGGACATGAGGAGAAAAAGTCAGTTTATAACTGATGACCAATGAACAGACCTGCCCTAAGACATTCATAAAAGCCATGCTCTCCAGGATTTGATGAAGTGATAGCTTTCAAATATTGTTAGAAAAAAACTAAATAAGACAGTACAACAGCAATCACAAAAAATCCAGGCCAGAATCCCGTATCCAGCAAAAATATTTGTAAAGCTCTAGACAAAATAAATATTTTGCTAGACAAACAGAAGATAATTCATTCATTGTCTGCACACTACTAGAAGAAAGGTTAAGGAAATCCTGAACACAGAAGCAATATGATAGCCAATAGAATCTTGGATCCACCAGCCGGGCGTGGTGGCGCACACCTGTAATCCCACCACTGGGAGGCTGAGGCAGGAGTATCGCTCTGAGTTCGAGACCAGCCTAGTCTACATAGTGAGTTCCAGGTCAGTCTCAACTACATAGTGAGACCCTGTCTCAAAAAACCAAAAAAATAAAAAATTTTTAAAAAAAGAATCTTGGATGCACAAAATGAATGTAGAGAACAAAAAGTTATAAAAGAGTGCAGAGAAGGAATCATTTTCTATATTTAATTACTCTAGAAGATAATTGGAAGTATAATTTATAATCTTCATGCTATCCGTGGTGATATTATCTTCCTTAAGGCATGATAAATATGTATACCACAATTCCAAGACTGAATAATATAGTTTAGAAAAGAGGTATAACAATTAAGCCAGTATTGGAAATAAAAAGAAATCATGACAAATTATAGTTACTCTAATGCACTAAGAGTGCCTATACGGAAAAAGAAGAAACCATTAGCAAGATGGTAAATTTTAATCCAACAATATTAAATAGTAATACTACAATCCCCCATCAATTAAAAGCACAGAATATGAAATTGTATTAAAAACTAAGACTAATTATGCTGTTCTCAAAAAGCTTTGCATCAATAAAAATATAGATAAATTTAAAATACAAGATGGAAAAGGACATATTAAACAAACAATAATCCAGAGAAAGTTGGTGGCTACATGATCAGGTAAAGTATATTTCATAAAAATGAATATTATCTTGCATAAAAAGGGACATTAGTAATTTTAAAGTTCAATCCACTGATAAAACATAATAATACTTAATGCTTTATGCATTCACAGAATTCCAAAATGTACAAATTAAAAACCAGTGAAAATGACAAAGAGAAATAGATGAATTCATAATAATACTATTTGCAGAATTCAAAATTCTTCTCTCAGTAACTGATAGATAAGTTAGCAGAAATCGCTAGCTGGAATACCTGAATAAGCTATCTATAAACTAGTCTTCATGAACATTTGTAGGATGTATATTAAAATTCAGATGCCTTTCAAGGCTACATGGAATATATATAAAGGTAGATTGTATTGTAGGTCATAAAAATTTAACAAATTTACAATAAATTCTATAAAGGAAGTTTACTTCCTATAATGAAATTTAACTGGTATCAACAGAAAGATAACAAAAATCTCCTAAGATTTGGAAGTTGAATAATACATTTATGTACACCAGAAATGTGTTTCTCACAGTTCTGAAGCTGGGAAATCCATGATCAAGACCCCAGACGTTTCAGTGTCTATTGAGGCCTTGCTGCCTGGCTCATAGACAGCCCTTGACTCCCTCCATCCTCACATGACAGAAGGAATCAGCCTTCTCTGCAGTGCAGTCTTTTTAATGAGGGTTTGAAATTCATGTGTGAGGGCTCCACCCCTGTGCCCTAATCACTTCCCAAATACCCACTTCTTAATGCTATCACAGCCTTGAGTGGTGGCCCACATCTGCACTCTAGGAAGCTAAGCAAATTTGAGCCCAGTCTGGACTACTTAGCCATTTAGTGAGGCCCTGTCTCTAAATAAAAAGAGATATGGTTGTGCTCAGTAGGAAGGCCTTGGGTACAATCCTCAGTCCTGCAATCATTTTTTTAAAATAAATACCATCACATTTGGGATTGGATTTTAACTATGAACTTCTAAGAGAAACAAAGAGTCTACAGTAGTCACCAAAGAAATTGACAATCTGACTTTATTAAAATTATAATCTAGATGTTTTGGAAACTATTATTAAGAAACTTTGAAAAGGTAAAGTACAGACTGGGAGAATATCCACAATGTATCTTTTGACAGAAAACCTGTCCAAATAATATGTTAATATTTCACCCACACACACACACACACACACACACACATTTAAAAAAAAGGACTGTGGATAGAGCTTAGTGTGAAGGCCATTTAATCCACAGTACCACAAAACAACAACAACAATTACTACTAATAATAAAATCAATAAATAAGAATTCCAAAAAACATCAACATCAAACATTATAGTATTTATTAGTGAAAAGGCTACACAATGGAACCTTTCTAAAAGACTAAGGAAGGCAGTATGTGTATGTGCTTGCAAAATACAAATACAGGGCTGGGGATGGGGTTCAGTGGGAAAGCATGTGCTTAGCATGCCCAAGGCTGTAAGTTTGAGCTCAAGAATAAGACAGAGGCTAAAATCTGAAGCCATTGTCCTCTGGGAGGACTGAAGGTCCACTGAGGGCAGGAGTCCGATCTGGTATCCACTGTTGCATATTGAGAACCTATTCCTGGTGATTAATAAATAGAAACTATTTGTAAAAAAAAAAAAAAAGAGTGAGAGGAGAGACAGGGAGAGCTTGCTATGTGCCATTAAAGGATGGAAGATGGAGAAAGAGAGAGAAGGAGGAGCATCGAGGAGAGCTGAAAAGAAGAGAGCCACACCTGATGCTGAGTACAAGTAGGTGTCAGGTCTCAGGCAGTTCTGGGGAAAGAGAGCTTGGACAGAGGCTGTAGGGGTACAAAGAAATGCTCAAGTGGGCAACCCAGCTTTGCCAGTGTAGGACTAGGGGACAGAGGGCTGGGTCTTTTACAGCTTGTTACAGAAAGATGCGTCTTGACAGCATAGAAACTGCACTCTAGAAGTTGGACTGAACAGCGTCATGGGGCTGCACAAGGTGCTGCAGCCCTGCCGCCCATAAACGAACTTGTCACCTTGAAAGGAAAAAAGACAGGAGCAAACAATCAATACGTGTGGACACAATCAGTGACCTAGTGAGTGAGGAGAAGGGGCACACTGGCCTGCAGCTAGGTTCCCAGGTGGGCAGGGACATCAGCCACTCTCAGATACCTGAGGGGCCTCTCTGAGCCGGATCTCTAGCCCCTAATCTGGCCCACACACAGACATTCAGTTTCCAGAATTGCTACCAGTGGGATTTTATAGTCCAATTCTGAGTAAATTTACCTAGATCTTTAAGGACCACCAAGAGACCCCACAAACATTTTTTCTCCTAATAGGTCTGTTGGTCCAGTCAAAGACTTGGCAGCCCAAGGCCAAACTACAGAAGTCTTTTCCTACTTTTGGAGGGCAAGAAGACTGATTCTGAGAGCATCACCTCCCTCAAGGTCAGGCAAGGGTCACTCCAACATCAGGCTCTCCCTACCTTCATAGATCTTGCGCAGGGAGCACTGCTGGCTTCCATATGCTTGGCAGGTATGTTCCCCAGTCTCGCAAACTCCATCAGAATTTCTCCGATCACACTGGACACATATCAGAGCTGGAAAGGCACAAGGAGCCTCTTTGGTCAGGAGGCAGCCAACATAATGGCCCTGACTGCTGAGCAATGAAAAATGGTCATTCTCCTGGTGCAGGAAAGAGCAGTATGAGGGCTGAGCAGGTACTGAGGGAAGGCATCACGCACCACGACTGGGCTCTGCTGGAGGGCAGCTAGAATATCCCCACCCCACACAATACCAGGAATTTATGAGGCTGCAGGAAGGAAGAGGAGGAGCTTGTTCAGGCCTGTGAGCCCACCACCCTTTCAGGGACCACTCTCCCATGTCCTGTCATTGCCTGTCGTCTTCACCCTCTGCAAAAGAATCTTCCTTGCCCCCTTTGCAATACAAATTCAGGGCTATCTGCAAGAAAGCTGGATGAATTGGGACTACTGGGGATTAGATCTGAGGCAAGAGAGCAAAGGAGCCTGAAGGGGGAGGAGAGGAGTAGGGTGGTTCTATGGTGGAGAAAGCAAAGAAGGGAAAGAGGGATTGGGTGATGAAGGCTGTGGCGACTGCCTCTAAAGGTCCTGGTGCCTGACCTTTACTTCCCCAAAGTCCAACAATAATCTACAGCCACCAGTTTATCTTCTTGCCCAGCCCCAAGGTTGGCTGTTCCCAGGGGCTCACCTTGTCCAAGATAAGACAGCAAGGCCAGGCCCAGAAAGAGCAGCAGGTACTTCCCCATAGACATGGTACCTAGGACCAAGGAGCAACAGCAATCAGGCTAGAGCTACTCCAGCTTTATAACCCTAGGCTGGGAGTGGCAGCCAAAAGGAGTCAAGGCCAGAGGCTGAGTTTCCCCAGAGGTCATATGAGCAGAATGCCTAGAGGGAGCCCAGGTCCTACTTACCTCACTGCCTCACTCTCCTCCACTGGCCTTTTCTCATAGATTTTTTTAGCTTTTAAATGGGGGAAATGTGGCCATGTGACTCATCCAAAGGGGGTATGAGATGAAATGACTGATAAGCCTTTACCGGTGTGCCATACCGGGCGATGATTTTCCATTTCCTAAGGAAATGACTTTCCCCAGTATGCAGAGTCCAGAATAAACCCTCTGATTTCTGTGGAAATGGATATGTGATGAGCTGTTACACCAGAAAGCACTAAACCCAGAACAACAGATTTGGATTTGTCTTCTAGGCAGGCTGCAGGCCTGACTCGAGTTTATGTACTTGATGAACAGAATTTTAAAACATGAATCTCAAGAAACAGGGCGTGGCTTTGGTGTCAGGCTTCTCTGCAGCCCTAGGCATAGTCTAGATCCTGGATCCACTCTTTTTTTTTTTTTTTCACCTGTAAACATTGTTTATTTGGTACATATCCTTCAACACATGAACCTGTGGAAAATATTTCAAATCTAAATTAAAAATACAGCAATATTTTAATGTTTCAGTTTACATTAAGTTTTAACATAAATTTTGGAGGGGCACCAACACTCAGAACAATGCATGCATCCATTAACAAACTACGATAGTACAGATATTTTGAATAATTTGATATTTTAACTATTGTACTAGAATTGAGTTATTTTAATGCCACTTTTATAATATTAAAGTATTTTGAAATTTATCCGATAATGACCTTTACCAGTGAGTTTTATAATTTCATGTGTTTTGTGTTGTTTAATAGAATCTTTTCACATTATCTTGAAAAAAAACACTTTGGTATTGTTTATAAGGCAGGTATAATGGTGATGATCTTCCTCTATTAATTTTTTTTGGGGGGAGTATCTTTATTTCTCCTTCATTTATGAAAAACCACTTTGCTTGGTGCAGAATTCTTGATTGGCAAGATTTTTCTTTCAGCATTTTAAATGTGATAACCAGTCCCTGTGGGTCTGCAAGTTCTTCTGAAAAACTTCATAATAACCCTATGGATTTTATCATGTATGTGATGAGTGTCTTCCACTTTCTGCTTTAAAGATTATATTCTTGTCTGTATCATCTGCCAACTTAATTATACATTTTACTGTTCAACATGACAGGCTTAAACTATGCAGTTCCAGTAATATATGGATTTCTTTGTTTTTTTTTTTTAATTGAGTTTATTGGTACATTTAGGGATACAGTACAGTTACATTCATTAATGCAGTTCCTAATATATGGATTTCTTTGTTTTTTTTTTTTAATTGAGTTTATTGGTACATTTAGGGATACAGTACAGTTACATTCATTGTTGGGATCATGTACCTTTACATGGCAAGTCTTGATTCTCATTTTTTTCCCCCTACCTCTGCCCTCCCTTCCCCCCCTCCTCCCCCCCCCATCTACAAACACTTTATTTTCATCTTTTCATTATCTCACATTTTTTTCTTTTCCCTTTTTGTTCTTCCCCTACGTATCACACCTTCCCTACACCTTTAGCTCCTTTCCTCCCATTTCTAAATGTCAGTAATCTTATTAGAATCTTATGCATTGTTGCAGAATATTCACACCAGGGAAACTATTTGGTATTTACACATGTGGGACTTATTTATTTCACTTAGGAGTATATCTTCAATATGTATCCATTTTCCTATGAATGAATCTATTCTCTCGCTCTTTATGGCTGAGTAATATTCCATTTTATAGAAAAACCACAACTTCTTTATCCAGTTTCCAACGGATGGGCAAATAGGTTGTTTCCAAGATTTAGCTATTACAAACTGTGCCGCTATAAACATGGGTGCACATACTTCTCTGTGATATGATTCTTTTAGTTCTCTTGGAAAGATACCCAACAGAGGGATGGCTGGGTCAAATGGAACCTCCAGTCCAAGCTCTTTGAGGTATCTCCATATTGATTTCCATAGTGGTTGCACTAGTCTGCACTCCCACCAACAATGGAGGAGGGTTCCTTTCTCCCCACAACCCCGCCAACATTTGTTATTGTGTGATTTCTTGATAGCAGCCATTCTTTGTGGGGTGAGGTGGAATCTCAGTGTTGTTTTCATCTGCATCTCTCGAATGACCAGTGATGTGGAACATTTTTTCATATATTTTCTTGCTGCTTTCACTTCTTTGTATGAGAAATGTCTGTTCATTTCGGATGCCCATTTTTGGATCGGGTCTTTATATTTGGGGGGACTGATTGTTTTGAGTTCTTTATATATCCTTGATAATAGTCCTTTGTCTGAGGTACAGCTGGTAAAAATTTTTTCCCACATTGTAGATTGTCTCTTAGTTCTGCTAATGGTTTCTTTTGAAGTACAGAAGCTTTTTAGTAAGATGAGATCCCAGTTGTTGATTCTTTCTGCTAGTTCCCGTGCTACTGAGGATTTGTTCATAAAGTCTTTTCCTATACCAATGTCTTCCAGAGTTCTGCCTAACTTACTTTCCAGCAAGTTTAATGTTTCTGTTTTAATATTTAGATCTTTAATCCATTTGGATTTTAATTTAGTGCATGGCGAAAGATAAGGGTCTAATTTTAATCTGTGACAGGTTGATATCCAGTTTTTCCAACACCATTTATTAAAGAGGCTATCTTTCCTCCACTGAGGATGGTGAGCTCCTTTGTCGAAGATGAGGTAGCTGAGTACATCTGCATTTGTTTTTGTGTCTTCCAGTCTGTTCCATTGATCCTCAGGCCTATTTCTTTGCCAGTACCATGCTGTTTTTATCACAGTGGCTTTGTAGTACAGTTTCAAATTGGGGATTGTTACACCTGGTGCCATGTGACTGTTGCCTATAATGGCTTTTGCTATTCTCGGTCTCTTGTGGTTCCAAATGAATTTTTGAATTCTTTTTTCTAGTTCTGTGAAATATAGTGTTGGAATTTCAATTGGCATTGCATTGAATGTATATAGCAGTTTTGGTAGTATGGCCATTTTCACTATGTTGACCTGGATCCACTCTTAAGTGTGGACTTCTAGAGTCAGCCTGCTCCCTCCCCTCTGCACCTTCTCTCTCCCTCTCTCTCTCTCTCTCTCCCTAAGAATTGGTAATTCACTGAAATGGGGGACATACTCACCAGAGGTGTAAGGTATAATTATTACCCAGCCCAACACTGAAGTCTCAGAGACGGTGTCATTACCCCACACAAAAACAACATAGGATGTGATTTCAAGGTTTGCAATACTTCAGGCTTAATATTATTCTATTTGATTCTTTCACAAGAGCTTGCGTAGTAGTTATTAACATTTCCTTGTACTGGTGCAGAAAAAAATCTGGCCAGGTGACAAAGAGGATAAATCGCAGATTTAAACCCAGCTCTGAAGACTACACTGACTCTGTCACTCTGCCAGTAGAACCCAGTCTTGATGGGTCCCAAGAGGCTAATGTTGGTGTTCAAAGACCAGAGGCCAAGATCCCTCCTCAAAGATGTCTTCTGTGATCTTGATAGCAAGAGAACATCACTAATACTAACCCAACATCATGAATAAGAATAGGCATGTGTCAACCTAAAATAATTTCTGTAATCTGCTGAAAAGTTTTTCTAAATGCTTTCTCTGGAGCTCCCATTTAGCTTTAATCCTAGAATGCTGTGGATGAGGAGAGGGGAGCCAAGCCTTGCTGTGTAGCCTGGCTCTAGGGATTCTTTTCTCTGTATTCCCTGGACATTTTCCACTGGTTCTTCCAGAAGCCCTGGTTGTCCAAATTCTCCAAGGCCAGGGACGGTCCTGAGCTCCTGTTCATGCAAAGGAAAATAGAGGCCTCTGGAGATGCTCATTATGCATGGGCTGGGGTGGGGAGAGATAGCACCAGAAACTTAAGGTAGGGAAGCAGCATCATTTTTATTAGCATTTATACAATTAGTATAATAGACCTGAAAAAAGAAAACAAAACCTAATTGCTTGTTTAGTACAAACTGCACAAGGTAGAGCTTGGCAAAAAATCATCTCAGCACTGAAGACAACAGAAACTGTCAACTCTGTCTCCATCAAAGAGGTTCAAAGGGAGCCTCATTAGGGTTTACCAAAGATGATGTGCATTTTTAAAAATAATGATTACATGTGTAATATATGGCTAGTACTACTGGCCCTCTTGTGCTGCTGTCAGTGCATGGAGAGGGGTTGAGGAAGAGGCAGTGATTCCATTCTTAGGCGGATACAGAGTCAGGCCAGATACTTCACAGGATTCATTAAGGAATGAGCTCCTCACCCATCTCTGATTCCAGCAAACAGGGCTGCCCAAATGCACATCACATGGCCTACAGCCCCCACGCCAACTCTCACACCACTACTCCAGGACTCCCTTCTGGTGTCCCTGAAGTCTCTTCCTCACAGCTTTCCTCCGTCCTGAGTACAGGGACCCAAGTAACTGGGGATCCTCCCCGGAAGTCCTGTGTTGCTCCGTGAAACTTCTCTACTTCTTCTGCTTTCTGACCACTCCTGCCTTCCGGGGGTAATTCTGTGGCATGGACAGTAATGGTGACATGTTTTAGGACTTAACCCTAGCTCCTCTTTATCTCTCTGTAGCATCCCTGTGAAATCCTGCTTTGTACATTTTGAGGGAATCTCTGTGCCTGTGAATATATCTACAGATTCTTTACTCTCTCAATTCCAGTCCAACTTTCACGCCTTCATGGATTTGGCTTCCTAGAGCGTAGTTACAATCTTTTTACTCTCCTGCTCAAAACTCTGCTCTGGTCCATGTAATTAAGTTCCAACTCCTCAGCTTGGCATTGAGGACTTTTCCCTAAATGGCCTTTAAATCATACCCAGGACTCCTAGACTTTTATTCCAGGAGCACCACCATGTCTAATTAATAATAACCCAA